GTTGGCAGCTTTTAAGTATTTTCTTCCAATAGGTTAAATGGAGTGGAGCTTACCAGCAAGGGGCCGGATTGACACTTGGGGAGGAGGTTGAGCAGTGTAACGCCTTCCTCTCTAGGATTGCTGTGACCACAAAGCACATGTCCAAAGCAGGTAAGGTAACCACACACTGCACTACTTAGATTGAATGTGTTACAAGAAAATTGTAGCCAGTGAGGGACATGTGGTACAACACAGATTAGTGTATTTTCTTTTCTTTTTTACAGGACGTACAGACATGCTTACACTGATGGCCATGCGCTGGAATCAGCAAAAGTTTAATAACTTGGCTGCTTCACTTGCCTGCCGATATCAGAAGGTAGAGATGAGTATTGTTATTTTCTTATATTGTAAATACCTTCTATTGTATATTTTTGTAGGTATAGCATTTTTATTTCATTTCCTTTTTTTGTTATTTGAAGGCCGCAAAACGCCTGGAAAGCCAACTTCAGGATCTGGAAAGCATGAAAATCCAGCTGGCAGTGACACAGGTTGAAGTTGAGGGCTGGGTCACTGATATTAAGGATGGGCAGAAGGTGATAGTTATACTATTATTTCAATGTCTCAGTTCTGCAGAATAACGGGAGACATGCTTCTGCAAGTAATTACTGTTTTAAAATGAAATCATACATACACTGTTTTCTTGGTCATTTACTTGTGCAGTGCCAAATTTTAGTATGTAGTGCATGCACACTGGAAATCATGTCAAAACAAAGTGCCCTGAAAGTACCTGAATGGTGCACAGTCCAAAAGTTGGAACATTGGACATTTCGGTGACATTCAACACTTTATTTTAAGGTGTCCTTTTAAGATTGTAATTATACATTTAAATACGAGTAATATTAATTAACTACATGTACTTACTATAGGATTAGGGTAGGATTAGGATTTGGTTGAGGGTTAGTTACATGTAATTATGCATAATTTATTGTTATTACTATTTTAAGTTCATGTAACATATGTAACAAGGACACCGTAAAATAAAGTGTTTCCGACATTTCTTGCAGTTAGCGGATCCCATCTTGGCTACGTTGTCAGTAATTTGGTACCCTGTTACATACTTCCTATACATGCTAATAAATATGAAATGAATATTGAGACTCACCTGTCCTTCCTCCAGGAGCTTTTTTTTATAAAGAAAAAAAAGCAGCAAAGAGGTTAAGGTAATCCTTATGACTTCCCTGTGGCGTTCTGTGTTACACTGAGACTTAGCTCGTTTCAGTTACTGCCATGAAAATGTAAGTGAAATGTTTACACTTCTTTTCTTCTCAGCAACAACATCCCAAAAGAATGCCGATCTTGACGCGGTGACCAGTAGAATGGAGGTGCTGGTGGCCAGCATTAAAAGAAGGTCCCAGCGCCTTTACAAAGACACCGATGGCAGCAAAGGTCGGAAAGAAAGAATCGTCTTTGACATCATTCTCTCTGACGAGACAGTTTGGCCATGGCAACTTTCACATGGTGGTATGTACACAAATCTGTTGACAATTTTGTTTGATTCACATAGTAGCACAAAACCAATTATGCCTTATCCCAGATTATCTCAATATTATTTGAAAAATAATCATACTTACAATTTACTTATTTTCCACAACTGTATCCCAGACGCTGTAGATTTGAAAATCAAGAGGAAGGCGTTTGATGTTGTGATGGCAATAAGGAGACTTGAGGAGGAGAAGAAGATTGTTCTTTCTGAGATGGCAAAGCATTGGAAATCTCTCTCCACTCGTGCAGACACACTCAAGGAGATGTCATCCCAGCTTTCCAGTGAGGCGTTGCAAAGTACGTATTTAAGTAATGTGTTGTAATACTATACTCTACATTGTAATTTTTTTTCTGATAATTTTTTGTTTTACTCCCATAAGGTGAGCTGTGGGCTCTAAATGAAGAAGGGATCGAGGGTTTCCTCAGCTTAACTTTGAGAAAGAAGCAAGAAGTCACCAGAATGATGAAGCATGCAAGAGACTGCTATGCTCAAGTTTTTGATCATATTCAGTGAAATCGACACTATAATCGCCCTATTTCTGATACCGTGGGGGCAGAAATGTTCAGTAGCACCTCAATGCAGTACATGAGATCCACGGGGAGGAGTCGGATCAAGATCCAAGGGGTGGAGATGGGTAGGATTAGGGTTGGGTTTAGGGATTAGGGGTGGGGTTTAGGGATCAGGGGGCGGAGTTGGGTAGGTTTAGGTGTATGTAAGGTGGGAGGAGTTGGATCTGGATCCGACTCCTCCCCATGGATTTCATGTTCCGCAGTGAGAACCATCTCGAAATGTTGCTGTGGGGGGCCACCACGGTCAAATCAACAAAGAGGAAACACTGTAAGTCAGATATGCTTGAATAATAGTAATTATCATATCTACATGTTACATTACAACAATAATAATGAATGTAGTTATACAAACTGAAATTAATTTAAGAAACTGTTTTTCGAATAGTCGTCTTCTGTTTATGGTAGAACAAAACTATGTGCAGAAAAGTTTACAGGAAGGTGTAATATGTGTATTTACTAATAATAATAGACATTATTCCACTGAGTTTTCTGACAGTTTTACATGGACACACAACCCCATTTTTTTCTTGCATCAACCACCTGCTACAGATGGTCTCTGAAAGCATCCTTGACAGGACTTATTCAGCTGCTTCTATGTGCAGTGAAGGTACATAGAGGTTCAACAAATGCAAAAACTGGCCCAAAACTTGAAAATGTGACTTAATTATAGACACTATAGTGGTTATTATATACACACACAAACCAATTTTTCTGAATTTGGATGTTTAATTGGGAAGTTGAATTACTTCAAGACTTGCTTTAATAACTACATTTCCTGACCTAAGCACTTTGATTTGCCTTATATACTATATAAAAAAAACTACAGTTGAGTGTTTAAAAATACAGCCTAATGGCTTGTTTGATTAATTTGGATTTGTTGTACTATTGTGAAAAACCAAAAATAAAACTATAAAAAGAGAAGCATTTTTTTTTTGAGACTAAAGGGGAAAAACATGAGAGCATATTTATGGGTGGGACTTTGATTTAAAATCACACTGCATTATTAGTAGTTTTAAAATTTAAATGAATGACTTTTTGAAATTTCAATTTATGGGTTAGGGTTAGTGTACATACAGTATACAACATGTGTTTTGGCATTTTTGGCACACTTCTTCCTCGGCTTACAGCATACAGACACAACTCGCATATCTCATTCAACCATTTCACAAGTTGATGAAAGGGTCTTGACATGGGTCAGAAGGTATTAGAAGTCATAAATGATGAACCAATCCATCAGCTCTGCTCCTACAGGCACCTCGGGGTGTATATGGACAATACCTTTGGCTGGAAGGCCCGTGTTGAAAGTGGGTGTTATCATTTAGAGCAAACACTCACAGTGAATCAGAGGGTTTAATGTTATACAAGGCTGCATTACAGAGCATTTTAATATGACTGTCATGAAGGTTGTGGAGAAGAATAGAAACCAGTCTCTCCAGGCAAGCATAAAGAATGTGGTCTGATCCATCTTTATTCTCCATACATTTTACATTTACATTTTACATTTAGTCATTTAGCAGACACTTTTATCCAAAGCGACTTACATCTGAGGTCTAAACCAAACAAGTTATCGTGAGGAGGCAATAACAACACAAGAAGTGCTCAAAATACAAAGTTCAAACATTGCTCAGAGTAGCATAAACTAGGCAAGTGAGGATTTAAAGGATTTTTATTTTATTTTTTTATGTTAAGTGCTTTCGGAAGAGATGAGTTTTCAGTTGTCTTTTGAATGCTGTCAGGGATTCTGCATTCCGGATGAGGGTGGGCAGATCATTCCACCAGCATGGAACTGTGAATGAGAATGTTCTAGAGAGTGATTTTGGCTCTTTGTGATGGTACCACAAGCCGTCGCTCATTGATCGATCGTAGGCTTCTGGTGGGGGTGTAGACTCGTAGGAGCGAGTGAAAGTAGGAGGGAGCTGAGCCAGTGGTCGATCTGTAAGCAAGTGTCAAGGCCTTGAACTTGATGCGAGCAGAGAGTGGCAGCCAGTGCAGAGAGATGAACAGAGGAGTGACGTGGGCCCTTTTGGGCTCGTTGAAGACAAGACGAGCTGCAGCATTCCAGATCATTTGTAGATGTTTAGTTGCACAAGATGGAAGTACAGCCAGAAGAGCATTGCAGAGAGCATTGACCTCTGAACCTTGAACCCAGTCCATCTTGGTTTGTAATTTAGCAACAGAAGGTGCTAAACACATAAGACCAGCATTATATATAAAGCTCTGGGCCTCTGCTGTCATGTAGATATGGTCACCAAAGTTTACCCACTGTATAAGCACTGTCAAATATGGAAATAAGCTATCTCACCTATTTAACGATTCATTTTTTGAAATCTGATAACACCAGTGTGTTCCCCATCCCAAAAAAACACAGGGTGTATCCAAAATTTTACACTTTTAACTTCTAATTGTGAGAAATATACCAATATACTTTAAAACTACAACTCCCATAAGAGACGCGCCACACAAAGCGAGTGCTTATGTGTAGTTATTCCGGGGTGGGGGTGGGGGGACATGTTCGTGTAACTATGTAACTATGGCCGTGAATGGGCTTCATTCCATTGCAGATTGCCGCCGGCCGACGAGCACACAATACATGAGACAAATACATTAAACTGTATTTTATTATTATTGTTATCTTTATTGTTTAAATCCTCAAATACAACGTTAGACAAAAACATCAATATTACGAATACTGTGTATTTTTTTATTCAAGAAATGTTTTACAATAGTGCAAAAACACATTTCTTAGAAATCTAGAACATTTCCAAAAAAGCATATATTAAATTCAGAATTCAGAAATGTCGACCTTTCAAAAATAAATGAACAAATCTGACTTATCAAAAATTGTTAATGCATACACTCTATACTTGGTGTGGCTGCTTTTGCACAAATTCCTGCATCGGTGTGGTGTGGTGTGGTGTGGAGGCCATCAGTGTATGGCATTGCTGAGGTGTTATAAAAGCCCATGTTGCTTTGATAGTGACCTTGAAGTTGTCTCTAATGTTGGGTTTGGTTTCTATCTTTGTCCTCTCTATGGGGTTCAGGTGAGACGAGTTAAGCACAGCAATACCATGCTAAGCAACCCAGTTACTAGCAGTTTTCGCACTGTGGCAGGGGCAGAGTCCTGCTGGAAAAGGATATCAGCATGTGCGTAAAGCTCGTCAGCAGATGGAACCATGCTCTAAAATCTCCAGGTAGAAGGCTGCATTGACGCTGGACCTAAAACCTAGTGGACATGACAATTCTCTCAACGCTGCTTTTTGGTTGCAAAACTTTGAGACCCACCTGTACATTTAAAGTTGTGTGTGCTACAATATAAATTTCAACCTTTATCCACTACCTATGAGATGGTAAAAAGTGGAAAAAGAGTACATGTATGAAGGCAATATAAACCAATATAAAGCAGTACTTACCATGCAGAGCAAGGTAACCATTTCACCCTTACTTCCTCTTGCCCCTACAGAAAGACAAAAACATATAATCAGGTTTTGAATTTCATAATTTTTGGGGCAAGGCCACTTGGCCTTCAGTTGAACTTAAATGGACTCAAATTACCAATGCTTAAATGGTCAGTATTTTGTGATATGTGAAATGCCAGATGAGCCACAGACAATGGAGAGATGATCAGACAGCCTAATGAAAAATATATTTCTTACCTCATTTATCCTTCGTCCTGTTATGGAGTCATATTTGAAAACTTTTTGCCTACTACATTTCCGGCAACCTTAAAATGACAATAATAATAATAATATTAATTAACCATAAATGTAAAAAAACCTGGAAATTAAACTTAAAGTTAAACTTAAAGTTTCATAAAACCTGGGGAACAACTTTAAGCATTGTCCTTGAACTTTGAAAACGTCTGAAGAATACATATATAAGGGCCATTCACACCAAAAACGATAACTATATAAAAAAATATTGTTCTCATTAATATGATAAACTATAACGAGATTGAGAACAATATTGTTGGGGATCGCTTTTAAAGCGATTTTGAGAACAATAAAAGAAGAGCTAACAACCAATAGGAACCCATCACATCTTAGCCATCACATTTATTAACACAAGGTGAGACTTTGCTTATAGCTGGTCAGTCTGTCTGGACGCTTTTATCGTTATAGTTCCTGGAATGAACTGCTCTTTAGCCATTAGATTCAGTGATTTCATAGCCGAAATTTAGCCTAATTATCCTACTGCCTGGCCTAAAGGTTATTGAAGCAGATTGTGAACAGTGATAGGGGGGGATAAGCTACCTGGGCTGCCCACTGATGTGTGCGTGAGTGTGTGTGTATTCATCTCTCCTCAAGTGTGTATTGCTCATTGCTTTACTCCTAGAGTGTGCATGTTCAGTACTGAAAGGTATGCGTGCGAGGACAAACTCCTTTGTGTATCAGACTGGCCACTGAAAATTACTCACATTAACTACGCTAATTGACTGCACTTAAATTCACCTAAAGATTTCTGTATTTCATGAATAATGATTACAAAAAGGAGAAATTCATACATAGTGTGCTAAGACCACAGTTAACTTACACTTTCTTTTTTTGGGGGGGGGTTGTTCCTTCACAGGGAGAGAGACAGGGTGTAAATCCAAAATATAAAATGTCTCCTTTTCCTGGGCCTGAGGGTGTGGATCGGGCAGGGCCTGAGGGTGTGGATCGGGCTGGGCCTGAGGGTGAGGGTGTGGATCGGGCTGGGCCTGAGGGTGTGGATCGGGCTGGGCCTGAGGGTGAGGGTGTGGATCGGGCTGGGCCTGAGGGTGTGGATCGGGCAGGGCCTGAGGGTGTGGATCGGGCAGGGCCTGAGGGTGAGGGTGTGGATCGGGCTGGGCCTGAGGGTGTGGATCGGGCAGGGCCTGAGGGTGAGGGTGTGGATCGGGCTGGGCCTGAGGGTGTGGATCGGGCTGGGCCTGAAGGTGTGGATCGGGCTGGGCCTGAGGGTGAGGGTGTGGATCGGGCTGGGCCTGAGGGTGTGGATCGGGCTGGGCCTGAAGGTGTGGATCGGGCAGGGCCTGAGGGTGTGGATCGGGCAGGGCCTGAAGGTGTGGATCGGGCTGGGCCTGAGGGTGAGGGTGTGGATCGGGCTGGGCCTGAGGGTGTGGATCGGGCTGGGCCTGAGGGTGTGGATCGGGCTGGGCCTGAAGGTGTGGATCGGGCTGGGCCTGAGGGTGAGGGTGTGGATCGGGCTGGGCCTGAGGGTGTGGATCGGGCTGGGCCTGAAGGTGTGGATCGGGCAGGGCCTGAGGGTGTGGATCGGGCAGGGCCTGAGGGTGTGGATCGGGCTGGGCCTGAAGGTGTGGATCGGGCAGGGCCTGAGGGTGTGGATCGGGCAGGGCCTCAGGGTGTGGATCGGGCAGGGCCTGAGGGTGTGGATCGGGCAGGGCCTCAGGGTGTGGATCGGGCAGGGCCTGAGGGTGTGGATCGGGCAGGGCCTCAGGGTGTGGATCGAGCAGGGCCTGAGGGTGTGGATCGGGCAGGGCCTGAGGGTGTGGATCGGGCAGGGCCTGAGGGTGTGGATCGGGCAGGGCCTGAGGGTGTGGATCGAGCAGGGCCTCAGGGTGTGGATCGGGCAATGTCGTCGTGGAGTTCCCTACAATATTGCATGAGTATGTTAATTTTCAATATTTCACCATCATAAAAAAAACAGGCATGACTTAAATTACACAAATCCTACCTTCTTTGATCAATACAAAATTGTAGGCCTTTCTCATGGTGGCCACAATTTTTAGGTTGTCCTCAGTGGGTAGCAGATGGGTCACCACATCAGACACCCACTTTCCAGAGGCCTCATCTTTCTTTGCGAAAAATAGAATTGGGACATAGCCTAATGCACTTAGTTTTTTCACCTGTAATAAATAAATGCAGACAGCAAACATTAGTTATTCCCACTGCATTACTTTCCACCCAATTGGAAAACAAATTTGCATTAAATACATTAGTGCTACTGTTTCTAATATCGGGCTACACAACTTACATGACCAACCTTAACAGCTTTTCCCCTTAGAAACAACATTACATGATGTTTTATTAACAAAGTTCGGGAGGAGTACGTTCAGATAATTAAACCCAATTAGACACGAGTGGAGCAAACTCTGCTAATCAATCCAATCAACGAGTTAAGAGGTGTATATATAACAACAAGCTTACCTCTGTCCGTTGACAGTTTGACAGCAGCCCTCCACCACCCCATCTCCTCACTTCTAGCCCTAAATACTTTTATCGTTAAGAAATGCTTATCAGTGACAATGTAATGATCTAGAATCTACATATAATAATAATAATAATAATAATCCTTATTTGTAGAGCACTTTTCAAAAACAAGTTACAAAGTGCTTTAACAAGTGTAAAGAATAATACAAAAAAAGATAAGAGCATGAAAATTTAATATAAAATTAGTAAAATAAAAGGGATAAAATAAAGTCAAATAAGATCGGGAAAGGCTCTCCTATAAAAGTATGTTTTAAGAAGGGACTTAAAAGAGTTCACTGACTCAGCCGACCTGATTTCCTCGGGCAGGCTGTTCCAGAGCCTCGGGGCCCTGACAGCAAACGCTCTGTCCCCTTTAGTTTTCAGTCGAGACTCTGGAACAGACAACAGACCTCTGCCCGAGGATCTCAAGGTACGTGCTGGTGCGTATGGGACTAAAAGGTCAGAAATATAACAAGGCGAGAGGCCATGAAGAGCTTTAAAAGTGATCAATAGAATTTTAAAGTCAATTCTAAAACATACTGGGAGCCAGTGTAATGAAGCTAAAATAGGAGTAATGTGGTCATATTTCTTTGTTCTGGTTAAAAGCCTGGCAGCTGAGTTCTGGACAGTCTGGAGTCGATCAATAGATTTTTGGGTTAAACAGGTGAAAAGGCTGTTGCAATAATCCAGGCGTGATGAGATGAAGGCGTGTAAAATGGTCTCGGTGTCCTTAAAAGTTAACATAGATCGAATTTTAGCTATATTTCTAAGTTGATAAAAACATGATTGAACAAGCTTTGTGGTGTGCTGCTCGAAATTTAAATTACTATCAAACCAAACACCAAGGTTCTTTGCCACAGGCTTAATGTGATTTACTAGGGAACCAGCAGATGGCAGTATTTGATTTGCCATCTGCTGAGACCCGATGACCAGGATTTCTGTTTTGTCTGAGTTCAGCTGGAGGAAATTATTTGACATCCATTTTTTAACTTCACAAAGGCAGTTGTTAAGTGAACTCAGCATTCCAGGGTCTGTGGATCTGACGGGCAAGTATATTTGTGTGTCATCAGCATAAATATGTAAAGAAATGCCATGTTTATGGATAATATGTCCAAGGGGAAGCAGATACAAGGAAAACAAAATGGGTCCTAACACCATATTTAACTGGACAGAATGAAGAGACGTAGTTGTTTACAGACACGCAAAACTTCCTATTTACAGGTAGGATGAAAACCATTCTAGAGCAGTACCAGAGATCCCCACCCAGTGCCTCAGTCTGTCTAACATGATGTTGTGATCAATGGTGTCAAAAGCAGCGCTAAGGTCCAGGAGTACAAGGACTGAGCACATACCTTCATCAGCAGACATTAAAAGGTCATTGGTGACTTTAAGCAGGGCAGTCTCAGTGCTGTGGTACTTCCTAAAACCAGACTGAAACTTTTCAAATATTTTGTTATTTTCCAGTACAGTGAGCAGCTGTTTGGACACAATTCTTTCTAGAATCTTTGCAATAAAAGGCAGTTTTGAAATTGGTCTAAAATTTTGTGGGAGGGAGGGATCTAAACCAGGTTTCTTTAAAAGTGGGTTCACGCAAGCCGTTTTAAAATAATCAGGGACACAACCAGTAGATAGGGAGCTGTTGAAAACAGAGATCAAATGGGGCCCAACAGAATCTATTACTTTTAGTAAAAATTTTGTAGGTATTATATCAAGTGGGCTGGAGGACACTCTCATTTGTGATACTGTTTTTAAAAGCTCAGACAAGTCGATGGGATAAAACTGGTTAAAACTCTCTTGTTGCTGGTGAGGAACCTCTGAGTAAGAGGCCACGGGGGTAATAGAGGCTCTGATTGACACCACCTTATTGGTAAAATAAGATAAAAACAATTCACAGTCATCATTACTTCCAGCTGAGGCACAAGGAGGGGTTGGGTTTACCAGCTGATCCACAGTCTTAAACAGAAACCTGGGATTGTGTTTATGTGTAGTAATGAGTTCAGAAAAATAGTGTGTTCTCGCATCCTTAACCATGTTATTGTAGTTAATTAATAAATCCTTCAGACTGAGGTAATGGACTTGGAGACTGGATTTTTTCCATCTGCGCTCTGCTTTCCTGCATTCCCTTTTTAGGCTGCGAATGCTGTCATTTATCCAGGGTTGCTTACTAGCTTTAGACGTAGGCCTAACCTTTAGAGGAGCAGTAATATTTAGTGACGACAAGCAGATATGACTGAAGTGATCGACCAGATTGTTGGTGTTGGAATCAGACAGGTGTTGGCTTTGGCTCTGAAAGAATGCGCAAAACTTTGAAACACTTTGTTCATTAAAGACGCAGAACACACGGAGCTTGGTGAGGCGGCATGAGTAACAGGCGAATCACAGCTAAAAACAATACATCTGTGGTCAGATATGGTCATGTCCACTAATTCCACAGAGGAAATGCTGACACCCAGGGTAAAAACCAAGTCCAGTGTATGACCACGGTTATGGGTTTGCCCTTTGACATGTTGTTTGAAGTTAAAAGAAGTGGCCATATTTAAAAAGTCAGTTGCATTAACATTGTTGGGGTCATCAACATGAATATTAAAATCGCCACAAAGAACAATTCTGTCATAATTTAAAACCAGAGTAGATAAAAATTCAGGAAGTTCTGATAAAAATCCTCCAGGCGGTTTTGGGGGGCGATAAATTATAACAAATATGACAGGTTGCAGCCCTCCAACTTTAAGAGTGAGAACTTCAAAGGAGCTAAATTCATCACAGCGTACTTGATGACATTTAAAATTTTTCCTATACACGCTCACTAGCCCACCACCACGACCACTGACCCTCGGTTGACTAAAGCAATCATATTGAGGCGGACACAGTTCAGCTAGCTGGCTATAGTCATTCATTTGCAACCAGGATTCAGTTAAAAACATAAAATCTAGATTTGCAGACAAGATAAAATCATTTAAGATAAAAGTCTTACTTGAAAGTGATCTCACATTGAAGAGAGCCATTTTAAATGAGTTTGTTCTGGGTGCTGGAGTTGGTGCAGTTGTCCTAATCCTTAAGAGAAGAAGGATTTTAAATTCTATTCTGGATTTTACTGGAAGCCAATGCAGAGAAGCTAAAACAGGCTGTATTAACAGGCTGCTCCAAGGTGCTCAGCTGCTTTATTTGGACTGGATCATATTTATTATAAATAATATTAATGAAGGAAGACAGAGCAGCTGGACATCAGTTGATCCTACAGTGAAATAATGAACTAAAGTGAGACTCCCTTGGTTCTACATATGCAGACAGAACAGATGCACTTTATTTATGAACTGATAAAACATGTTTAATCTATAATAACACATTCAAATCATATGATAATGTTCCATTAACTTCACAGATGTGGACGAGCTGATCGACCGCTTCAGGGTCTCCGCTTTATTCTTCAGTATGAAACAGCCTGTGCTGAGTCCTGATCGTGAAGAGACAAAAAAGAAAGCATTTACTCTGCAGCCGACTTACTCATGGTAGAAGCACAACCGCCAAAACTCTCTGCTTCTGTTAATGTCTCCTTTTGAGAAAATGTGCAGGGTCAGAGTTCACGACTTTCAGGTTGTAATTTCCAGAAAGAAAACATCAGAGCAAAGCTCCACACATTAGGCCGGTCGTCATGGGAGAATTTGCTCAGGGCGTCCGCAGCGTCTCTACAACAGAGGAACTAGGTTAAGCCAGTTTGCATCTGGAGATAAGGTGCTTGTATTATTCCACCTCTAAATTACTCACCAGGTGGTAGAACCCCTGGCAGTCACACGGCGAGTGGGCCACATGGATTATGAGGTTGTGCGTTCTGACAGGGGAGGAGACACAAATTTACCTCCTCAACCTCCTAAAAGCGAGGCGGAACGTGTTTTCCTGCTGACGACAGTTACGGAAAGGGACGAGTTGGGGCCTGAGGTTCCAAAGTCCATTAATCCAACCTCACTCCTTCTTGACCATCTCACACTGGCCCAGAGAGCCGATGATGCTGCAGCAGGCCAGGACACACAAATCTCATCACAATCACAATAATATTTGATTCAGTCCGACTTTCACAGAACAAATGTCGTCTGTAGTGTTTTTGTAGTCCCCGTTTATTCAGCGCCTCTCGCTCCTGACTATTCACTGGATCAAACCACAGCGGTTCAACCCAGAGAGCGTCTGTGAACAGAGACAGATGTTACCACCTGAAGACAACCGCCTGTTATCATGTGACTCAAGTGCCATACTGAGGGCGTGTGATGGCAACTAAGCCCGATCCATCGAAGTTTGAAGTTCTGATTGGACAAAACAAGTGTTTAGATGACATCATCTTGGACTTTTCTCAACGGCGACAGGCGTGTTTTTAACATTTTATTTACAAAGAAAATACTAAATAAAACAGGCAGCAGCACTAAGTCAGCAGCGCTACAAATATTTAAGAATAAAAGTAAATTTAAGGTGGAATAAAAACCAAACTACATGAAAAAAACAGATGGTTTACAAACAAATAATCAGCTCATTTGTTTAAGGCGAGACACTGCGTGAAGTGAATAGGGTAGAAAATATTATGTCTAAATAAGCAAATGAGGCAGTATCTAATGAAATATGTGCTAATTTGCATCTAAATATGAACACTGGATTAATTCAGGTTCATCAACCCTGATAAATAAGTAAAAACATGTCTGAACAGACCGAGGGCCTCCTCGATGCTCCAGCCTGTGACCTGGAAATTGATCTCAGTGCATCTTGAAGAACATCTCAGTTCCTAAAATGCACCTCGAGGAGCAAGGAGGCACTTTGGGAAATGAGAAAGGCACCATATATAATGCACTCTGACCTCTGACGTTTCCCTCCTGGCTTTGACATCCAGAGTGTTACAGTATCGCTGACTCGTGGTAGTTACATCGAATGAAAGGGCTGCGGTAGCAAAGGGGTTCTTTGGTCCAAGCAATATTGATCACTAGTCATTGTATTGATCAATATTTCAATGTTTTAAGAACTTGATGTTATTTGTAACGTTTGTGTGGACAGAAACATGTAAACAGTAGATCTATAATACTAACATGAACACCTCCTGGGTATAATTTTATAAATTGTGTATTTGAGTTTCTTCATCAAATTTACAGTTCCAGTTGTAGTCCAGGTGTAGCAGGAGATATTCAGTTGCATTATAACCTGCAGGAGGAGGTTTTGATGGTGATAAATGGTAAAATATAGATTTTATACAAGGCGAGGATGGAAATCTCATATTTTCCTTTATTGCTTCTCCATTTAGTCTGTAATGGTAACATAAATATTAAAAATAAATATTGTTGCTGTGCACAGGGAATTTCGTGTTTTATTGCCCGTGGTTGGAAACGCTGCGGGAGGCTCCCCTGCCCCTGATTGCCACGCCACTCTACGGACCAGTATGGAGGTCCCAACATATGAGCACCTGAACCAAGCATTGTGTCTGTCTTTAAACGACGTGGAAGCACAAAGTATACTACTTCACTCACAATAAATGCAGTAAAGTCATATCAGTGTGCGCTAGCTTGTATTTGATTTTTGGTGACATAAATATCTTCACTTATTATGCACCAAGCCGAATGGTTGAGGAGTTATTCCTGATTCTTTTAGGGTGTGTTATTTTAGGTCTTTGTCCTGGAAATTGGGGGAAATTGCTGGTAGTTTAAGATAAAATGGTGCCTGATCATTAAGAGCTTTGTAGGTAAGTAGAAGGATTTTAAATTCTATTCTGGACTTTACAGGAAGCCAATGCAGAGAAGCTAAAACAGGAGAAATGTTGAGTGTGTGAAAAAGTAGTAGTATGAGGTGGAGACGCAGTGTGTTGTTGCAGACACTAGAGGGCAGCAGTGTGAAGGATTTGTTCTACACAGTAACAGCAGTACAGTAGTCGCAGCAGTATTAGTATTAATAGCAGTAGTAGTAGTAGTATCAGGTGGAGACGCAGTGTGTTGTTGCAGACACTAGAGGGCAGCAGTGTGAAGGATTTGTTCTACACAGTAACAGCAGTACAGTAGTCGCAGCAGTATTAGTATTAATAGCAGTAGTAGTAGTATCAGGTGGAGACGCAGTGTGTTGTTGCAGACACTAGAGGGCAGCAGTGTGAAGGATTTGTTCTACACAGTAACAGCAGTACAGTAGTCGCAGCAGTATTAGTATTAATAGCAGTAGTAGTAGTATCAGGTGGAGACGCAGTGTGTTGTTGCAGACACTAGAGGGCAGCAGTGTGACAGTTATAATCCTGACAGCATGCAGAACTTTTTTATGGAGACATTTTGACACGTGACAGCAGGAAAACTTGTGTTTGTCATTAATAACAAGATTAACTGTGTCTGTTGTACTATTATATATTCTCTCCTCAGATTCTTCTTCCTCCTCATTAATGTGCAGCAGGATGTTGCTGCTGTAGTTGTTGAGCTGCAGCTCATTCTGAACTGTTTAGTATCAGACTGCAGCTGATGATTCTTTTCATTCTGGATCAACCTGCTGATTATTTCCTCCACTTCATCTTTGCTGTTTAAGTTTAGTGATCTAGTGACATTTGATATTGCACACATACAGACAGCGGTTCAAAGTAACCGTGGACATTTACTCAAGTACTGGACTGAAGTACACATTAGAGGTACTTTACCACTTTCTGCTACTTTATATTTCTACTCCACTACAATTCAGAGGGAAACATTTTACTTTCTATTAAGAATAACAAAGTGAAACATCATGTATCTTTAATGAAGAGACTGAACAACAGAACACTAAATAAAGATGTGATGCTGTGTGTGGAAAAGGTTTCATGTGTCGTAGAAATGAAATGATGAAATGTGAGGGGACGTTTAAGGGTTAAAGTCACAGTTTGTACTTTTGTATTTTCCTCCCAGCTGTTAAACAACAGATAACAGTCTGTGTTACTAAATTCAGCACCAACCTGAATGTGTTTGTGCTAACAGGAATGTTTGTTTGTATTTCTGCATCATCGTGAGCCAGATTTTTTATCTGCTGTCAGATTCAAATCAAGACGAAGAAACTTCTCAGTGAATCAGTTCAGAGAAACAGAGAAGTCTGGGAAACAAGAAGCATTTAGAAACAACGTTAAAAGAATGAGAAGAACAGAAAGATAAATAGTGTCAGTAAGAAATGAATCTGCTGGCTGACAGTAACCTTCATCTTCTTTTTCAACAACAGACATTTGAAGATTGAACACAAACAGGATTTTGGAGAATGAAGGTCTCAGTGTGACGAACCACACAATGAAAACAAGAAGCTGGTTCCACTTTTTATACTAGAGAGACACAACTACATGTTCCTGCCTTGAACTGATGATTTTCACTGTTAGAATCAGCCGAGTTTGTAGTTTTCCTTCTTTCTAATGTAGCTGTAGTGATTTGAAATAGTTCAATAGAGGAGATGAACTGTAATAAAGCAGAATGAGCTCCGACTCAGCAGAAAACCACACAGCAGCTTCAGCTGAGCTGTCAATCAGCAGCAGCAGCCTTATCTGTCCGCCGCAGGGGCTGATGGGAGGTCTGAGGACCCGTTAGAAACCACGCGGCCCTCGTCTGATCTCACAGCTCGTCCTTGTTTGGCCTCAGCTGCATCAGAGCGCCACTTCTCCCCAGGTTCACCAGAGGAAACACCACTGCACACAATGCTTTTCCTCCCAGCTGCTGCTCTGTGCTGTCTGTGTTCAGGTGAGTGTTTCCAGCCAATCAGGAGCCAGCAAACTCCACCTGGAACAAACACTGTCACACTGACCTTCATCTATCTGTCTGTGTCTCTACAGCGCTGGTTGCCATGGCAGCAGACCTGATTCAGGAGGATTTAACATGGACCAGGAGAGTCGATGAAACTGTTTCCTTCAGCTGTCGAGGAACTGACCAGTGTGACACTTATGTATTCTGGCTCCAGAAGAAAGACACAGAAACATTCACAAGGATTCTGTGGATTGATATGAGTAATTGTAACATAGATTCAAGCTACAGCAATCATCCTCAGAAAGATGATTTCTCAGCTGTGAATAAACAGAACGGCTGTGAGTTGCAGATCCAGAAAGTTAAACTCTCTCATTCAGCCACCTACTACTGCGCCTGTTATAAGTATGTTGCCCACAGTGAGAAATGATCCGTGCAGCCTGAACAAAAACCAGCAGATGTCAAACAGTGTTTGTGACAGGAAGAGAGCAGTAAACCACAGCCCAGGTTCACATATTTCACCTCCATCTCAGCCAGAGTCACAAACATACTGAGCTGAGGGATTTCTTTAATATTCTATTGATTTCTATTTGATCAGATATTCCAGCAGGTTTCTTGTTGTTCCACACAGTGAGGACAAACTAGCAGCACAGAAGCACAATGAGCAAACAAGATAAAGAGGAAACTAAATAAAAATATAATCCTGATTCACTTTATGAAGTAATCCTTAAAGTAAATGATATATAATAGATAAAGTTTCCAGCCAGATGTTCCAGATGCAGATTAAAGTCGTCCTCTTTGTTCTGCTGCTGGAATAAAGTCCATTCCTCCCTCACAATACTAATCTGCTCTGAATGAAAACCCTTCCAGCAGCACTTGTTGTTTAACAGCTTTCAGTAGATTTCAGCAGATCATTTCACTTTCTTCCATTTTAAAAGCCAAATCTTGGACACGTCAGGTCAGGATGTTGCCCTTCTAGCAGCGGCTTATTAGGACGCTGGTTCTGTTGCCAGGTTTCCATAAATGTCCTGTGGATGTTTCTGCTTCCCAGAGGATGAATCCTAACATTTATGGTGACCTCCTGACCTTTCCTCTAGCGCCACCATCAGGACAACAGTTTCTCTACACCAACACTTCAGCATCTTCAAAGTTAACGGCTTGATTTTTGATCAACTCACTGAAAACTTTATCTGGAATATTTACTGACACACTGTAAACCGTTTTACTCTCCCTGCGAGTTTGCTTCCTACTTTCTGCTCGGTGTTTATATTCCACCGCAGGCCAACGTGCACGACGCACAGCGCACGCTGGCCGACCAGATACTGCGAGTAGAGCGACTAACCTGGACTCCCTTTTTATTGTTCTTGGTGACTTTAAGGAAGGAAACCTCAGCCATGAACTCCCCAAATACAGTCAGTTTGTTAAATGAGACCAGAACATTCTGGATCACTCAAGTCCAGGATTAGCAAGGCGTCCCCCTTGGACTCTGCGTTGTGTTTCTAACATGTGGTGGGGAGAGAAGAAAACAGAGGTGGGTAGTAAAGAGTTACATTTACTCTATTAATTGAGTAGATTTTTACAGAAAAGTTTTACTCCACTACATTTGAGACATTCATTGCACTACTTCCCTATTTATTTATTTAGCATTCCAACCGTGTGCCATGGCGCTGTTGGTCCTGCAGTTACCACCACAGGCTCTTTGGTTTGCTTGTTCCTGTGTTTTTGACGTGTCACATCTGCTTATTAGTTTCTCAATGTCCTTGTTTATTCCAGGCCAGAAAACTGTGTCTCTCGCCCGTCTTTTGCATTTCTCGACACCAAGATGACCTTCATGGATCCCGTGTAGTATGTCCTGTCTCATCTTTTCTGGAATAACAATGATGTGGTAGAACTGTGGACAGGATCCCACAGGCCATCCATTTTTCATGTTCTCAATGACTCACTGCAGCTCCGTATCTTTTGAAGTTTCATGAGCTATTTGTCTGGACTTTTCATCTGACACAGGAAGTGCAGAAGACACCATGTTCACGTGATCTTGAACGTCCTCTGCAAATCTGCAATTATCAGGTGGAGATCAGCTCAAAGTCATATCTCTGCTTTTTCATCATCAAACGCTGAATCCTTGGCGACATCTCGCTCAGATTCTTTTTGACCATGGCGACTAGCGGCCGATGGTCTGTTTCCACCGTGAAAGATGGTAGGTCATAAATGTAGCTGTGGAACCGCTCCAGGCCAAACACAAGTCCCAGGCATTCTTTTTCTATTTGAGCGTATCTACACTCAGTCTCTGTCATGGATCTGGATGCATAGGCTACTGGTTTCCAGTGCTCACCTTCAGCTCGTAAAAGTACTGCACCAATCCCGTTCTTTGAGGCGTCTGTCGACACTTTGATCCTCTTCGCCGGGTCGTAGAATGCCAATACAGGTGCAGTTGTCGGGGTTTCTCTGAGCTTTTGCCGTTCGTGCTGAGAGATTATGATAGCATGATTTGTGTATTACTCAGGGGAACCACTAGTATTGTGTTTTCTTATATTGATCTCTGATGTATTTTATAGGTAGAAGTTTATATGTTGCTTTATCATTTATTAAACTCGACCTGATTTGTGTGTTTTTTGGAGAGGTGCAGAAACAGGGGGTCTCTGCATGATCAGATAAGGACACTTACTTAGCACCAATGGGTGAGGGGTGGTTTGGAATGTGGTACAAAACATCTCTTCTCATCTCATGGCTACGTATAATTTTAATCCAGTTATGAAAATTAATATTTCCGGGAATATTAATTTATGACTTGAAACTAGGAGCACCACCTAAAGATTTGCTTGTCCGCCCAAAGCTTTAGGTCCTTGAGTAAAGCCTGAGAATTACACAAATTTCCGGTAATTCATTAGTTGTTACTGGTTCCGTTATTCTGAAATCGTAAACTCTAGTCAATCAGTCAATCTCAAATCTGAGGGTGAGTTCTATGTACAGGGACTCTAGATTCTTAATAACACACACACAACATCACTGTGCTCAAGGTGAATTGATTAACTAACTAAAGAGAGTACAATAGTGGTATTATTACAGGGACAACAGTCAATATGACACCCAGGAGGTAATGAACAGGGTGGCCTACGTAAGGCTCGATTGGATTTCAGTTTATATTGTAGAGGGAGAGAATTCTACGAGTATGAGGGAACGAATGACCGAAATTAGGTTGCAGATTTAGTTTGACTAATCTAAGGGTTTATTAACTGTGGATGGAGCCACTAGAGAACACCAACGAGTCACAGAGGGTGGTTTGTTTTGCCCTACCGTTGCCGCAGGTCCCGTAGCGAGGCTCGACTGCCGGTTGGCTCGTGGAGTCGGTTCTGGCCCGACCCCAGTGGCTTTTTCGAGTTGAGTTCGAAACCGATGGATTTGTTCCGGAGTCCTTTGTGGGAAGCGTTTGCAGCAACGGGCCGTCAGCCAAGGCTTTTACTCTGATCTCAGTTCGTTTGGTGTCGCTATAGCGGAGCCCACTCAGGGTTCTGTCGTCAGAGCCGTGGTTTCATTTATTCAAGGCCATAAATGAAGGCTTCTGAGTTTCTGGTCCAAAGTTGTTCAACAACTACCGGATCAGGTTGCAACAACAAAATCAAATAAACTCACATTCGCCGTAGGTTCGCGAGGCCTCGGGAATATCGGCTGTTTAATGTTGCTGAGATAAAACAGGCAGCTCCAAACAAAAAATCAAAAATCAAATCTCCCGCTAAGAAAATTGGGATTCAGGGTCGTAGCTTTCTCAGCTCGTCTGAAGAAAATTTAAGTACGAAACGGAAAAAGATCGGAATTTCAAAAAGTAAAGGAAGTTAAGAGAGCGTATAGGTTTAGTTTCAAGAGAGTTTTTTAGAGAAGAGGTGAGCCAAAAGACAACAAGGCCCTTTTATTTGACTTCATTAGGTAGGAGATGACACGGTGAGCGTTTGTGTAATCTCGTGAGACTTGGTGCAATTCAAACATGGCAGCGCGCAGCTAAACAAACAATTCATTAAACAAACAATCCGCCAATTTTAAGCGAATTAACAAATAAGAGCAGTCAAATCGCACTGGAGGACCTCGAGGACGAGTGTTTGGAGGACCTTGAAGTTTATATTGACCAGTGTTTTCATCGAGTGGTCATGGGGAAATCAAAAAGAAACCGCACTGAAGACTCACCTGGAGCATCACCTGGAGCAGTCTCCTCGCAAGGTGCAGATTTTACAGAGATTCTGGATTCAATAGACAAGAAATTGTCCAGCTTTGATGCCCGATTATCTCTTGTGGAAGTACTTCACAAAGAGTTTCAGGCTCTGCGGGAATCCCTGGAGTTCAGCCAGAAACAGGTGGTTGAGCTCGCGGCAGAAAACAATGTCCTCAAAGGTTCGGTTAAATCCCTCACGGAGGGAATGACGCGGCTCTCGGCAGACAATAAAAACATTAGAGAAGCAATCATCGATCTCCAGGCTCGTAGTATGCGGGATAATCTGGTCATTTCGGGTATCCCGGAGCAGGCGGATGAAACCCCAGAGGAGACCATTAAAAGCTTCATCCAAAATCAACTGAAGCTCCCGGCCGAGACCGTAAAGAACATCAGCTTCCACCGGGTGCACCGCCTGGGAGGACGGCGACAGGAGAACCAGAGGCCCAGGCCCATCGTCGCGAAGTTTGAACACTTCAAGCAGAAGGAACTGGTTAAAGGCCGCGGCAGGGAGCTGAGAGGGACCAACTTCAGCGTTAACGACCAGTTTCCCTGGGAGATCCTGGACCGACGCCGAGTCCTGTTCCCGATAAGAAAGAAGCTTATTGGAGAAGGATCACGGGCTGTCATCGCAGTGGATAAACTTTACGTTGATGGCCAGCTGTACCGCGACCGAGACACCACTCCTTGGCTCTACTAAGAACCAAGTCCAGCAACAGGTGAACTGTATCAGTATGCGATCATTTTTTCCCCTATCAGTTAATTACTCCGTGACATATGGCAAGTTAATAGTTATAAAATACAGTGCACGTCTCAACAGCCTATACTGTGGTTATCTGACTAGTCTGTCCGATAATGTTTTGTGTATTTTCCCCTGTTTTTGTTTCACTGTTTCTTTCTTTTGTTAATGTTGCTCTTCCTCCGCCGTTTACACATCGATCAGCTGCGCAATTTTCATACTGTTTAATTCACAAACAGTCGGGCACACCGCTAGCACACACACGCAGGCGCATACAACATGAACACATAGACACACACATACAGGCGCATACAACACACACAATGATACAACACGCACACTGCACACACTAGCCATCACCACATCCCTTAGTTGAATGATGACCTCACTTATAATCACCTCTTGGAATGTACGCGGAGTTGGTTCAAGGGAAAAGAGATTACAAATTTTTAACCATCTAAATAATCTGCAAGCAGACATTG